CACCCGGCCCCCCGAGCCGCCGGCCTGCAGCCCGCCGGCGGTGGGCATGCTGGCATGGCAGGACGGCGGGGCCAAGGCGGCTCCCTCCCACCACAAGATCTCCTTCTCAGTTGTGGACATCCTGGACCCGCAGAAATTCACCCGCGCTGCGCTCCCTGCCGTGCGCCTAGCTCCACGGGAAGCCAAGAAAAGTTTGGCGGAGGTCGAGGCTGGGAAGGACGCCAGCGCCCGAGACCCAGCCCGACAGCGGGAGATCCCTGGTAAGAATGCGAAGCGGCCCCCTAACGCAAAGTGTATGTGGGGAACAACCAGGGCTGGATGAGCGGCGGGTTCCAGGGCTGTCCCAAAGAAAGAAGGCGCACAGGACCAGGTGCGAAGTGTAGCCCCTACCTTATAGTCGGATTGAGGCAGAGAGCAGGCGCCCAGCATTCCAGGGCAGAGATTGCCACGGAAGCCACATCCCTGACCACCTGCTAAGCGGGCAAGCCACCCAGCTCTGATTTGCGCGCAGTGGGAGTTAACACCCAGCGCCCTCCTTGCCACGCTCCCTCATTTACTGGTCACTTAATGTGCTTGCCACGTGCCAGGACCTGGGCTGGGGTTGGGATAACGGTCATGACAGAACCTGCGAGGTATGCATCATTAACATCACCCCTATCTTGTGGATAAGGGAGCTGTGTATAAGGCATGTATCCAGGGTATTGGTGAGCAACGAGGTCAGGTGCCTACCATCCCTTCACTCTCCCCAGGCAACCTTTGCCTGGAGCTGGAGGCGTGGCAGGGGTGGGGTGGCAGCAAGCTTTTGATACTTTCTCCTCCAAACTCTTTTTGACTTAACTCCCAACGCGGGCATATACTTAATGAAAGATCCAGGAAAGTTTGTGGCTGGAAGGATGAAAGACGTCCAGGACCCGTGTTGGATGGGGCGCAGGCACGAGGGTCCCTTGAGGGTCGCCGGAGGTCAGGAGGTTAGGTCCCCTGGAAGGCTGGTTGCGGGTGCAGTCGCCCGCTCCTCCTCCTCAAATACGGTGGTGATTGTCTGGGGCCCCGGGCGCCTCTGGCGGCCGCGCT